AACTGGATGTGCTGCCACTATCAAGCACGGCCCGCACGATATATTTGCGATTATTATTGTCGCATACCTTTATTAAAGCGGTAGACAACAACACTTGGTGTTGTTTACTATTTTGACACTCACCGCCGGGCTCGGGCGATGCAATATGTGCCGACAATGTCACGTTATTCGGCCCTGTGACGACGGACGGCGAAGACGTTGATGGGGACGATAACAAATTATTACATGTCGTGTTTTCATAATTGTTACGAGTGTGTGAACTATTTTTAAACTCTGATGTGTGAATTAATGTATTATGCCTCCGTTTACATAACTTGCAACCTGGTTTCTTGCATTGGTTGGCAAAATGTCCTGTGCGGAAACAATTATAACAGACCTTGACACTAGATAATAATTTAAGCCTAGCGTCAATGGTTAATGCAAGGAACTCTGGACAATCATTCAACTTATGATTATCCTTACATTTAGGACACGGTTTGCAAGATGATTCGGTTTTACCTACATTTTTATTATAAGTACTTTGTGTTGTAAACATTGTTTGAATTTTAGAATTTTTATTCTGTGATTGTGTGTGAACCGTATGTAACATATTATGACTTGACAGCTCCAATGTTTCGAGTAAATCAGCTCGTGTGTGTATGAACTGAAGAAATACCGCTAATGTTATTGTGCTGTCTTTATCTAACCGGCCTTTGTACTCTTCAAACTCACGATAAGTTTTTTGATCTAACTTACGAGTCATAATGTAAATCAATAACGTATCCCAGTACTTAATAGGCTCACCTAATGATTCTAAGGCCCGTAGGTTTTTATTTAATTCATCTATTAAACGCTTTAAAGCAAAAGAAGATTCCCTAGTGATCACTTCTATATTAAATAATGCTGTTATATGGTTTTGTATCAATAATTTCTTATTATCGAATCGCTCACACAGTAACTGCCACGCCACTGAGTAGTTTCTAGCAGAGAACTCAATTGAATGTATGACGACAGCAGCAGTTCCCTCCAGAGACGCTCTCAAGTAATGAAACTTATTAATTTCATCTATCTCATCATTAGAATGAATGAGGCTAGTAAAAGTGTCTCGGAACTCCAACCAATTGCTATAAGACCCACTAAATTTAGGCAGTTGAATAGTGGGTAACTTAACCGGCTTACAAACACTAACGCGGGTACCCTTTTCACTGTTTGACGAATCATGATCTTTGTTATATTTATTTAATATTTCCTGTGACCTAGACAGGGCATTGTAGTATATGGATTCAAATTCCGACCGCTCGGTTAACTGAATAGTAACATCATCAGTAATACATTCCAGACGTAACTGTACCTCATCGTATTGTTCGTACAACGACTCGATCTTCCCTGAGCGTAGCTGTAACTCTGTGATGTCACAACTGCTTAATTTTTTGCCGCTTAATCCATCAAGATGTTTAATAAAAATGGTTAAGCGACCCTTAAAACTCCCTCGCTTTTTCACTAATTCCTGTTCATCGCACATACTGGGAAGCGAGTGTCGTCGATCTGGAATTTATATAAGAATAAACTTAACTATATTTAATTACAAAGCAATTGCCTAATTGTACACTAACACAGTTGAATTAACAAGTTTTACAAATATCTAACACTCAATATTGTACCAAGTATTTGCCTACCTACGTCTATATGTATAATTAATAAAATTTGGATCTCAGTAGTTATTTTAGATAAAATTAGAGCAAATTACAATAAAATATGTAGCACTAACTGTCTACTATGCTATTTTAAGCATAAATACTGTAAGTATTGCTTAATAATTGTTTTATACAAAAATACAATATAAATTAATTTAGATGAAATAATGGCAAATTACAATAAAATATGTAGCCCTAACTGTCTACTATACTATTATAAGTATAAATACTGTAAATTCCTTTTAATAAATGAAACACACAAAATCAATCTGACTTTTTTTTCTTTTACTACGTAGTTGGTACCTAATGAAAAAGTAAGTATAAAATTTATACACTAACCTTTTAATATCCTTAATTTAGATTAAATAATACCTGATTGAGTGTTGGGTGACGATATCAGAAGAAATAAACTTAACACCGTTGTTAAATATACCCAATCCAGTGGCCGTTAATATTTCTCGTTTCTTGAAAATTTCAAAAAAGCTTCAATATATTCTGATTTCCGGGAATAACTGCTAATCCTTAATAACTGTTGATAAATCCGGCTTCGGTAAGGACCATGTAAAGAATTAGCACGGATTCCGGAAATAAAACAGCAAATATATGGATTGAGCGTGTACTGCCTTGTAAAAAGCTCCAGAGTCGTAGTGCAAGTCAACATTTAAAACTAAACTTAAAGCTACCGACTATATTGGTGACACAGATGACAGGCAACGTTTAATTGCTAGATATATTGCGGTGCGGTTACCATTGGGCGCCTGAACAGTATGTTATTAATCGAATGTCGGTATCATCTCTAACCATAAGTTTATTTTTGTAATAAAACATTTAACAGTGACAAAAAATATAGAAGTACGATAATATTCGAATGTCGTTTTTAGGATTCCGTCATACTAACAAGGAACCCTTATAACTTTCCATTTTTGGGCTGTCTTTAAATCCTTGGCTAGGCATGAACATTCTAAACTGGTTTATATATCATTACTTCGGAGCCCTTAAATCATCACTTCGGTGTCCGACTGTCTACCAAGACAATTTCTATGCAACGTGTGATCCAATGCTTTTTAAAATAATATCAATAACGGTCTGCGGTGTCTAGAAGCTAAAAACATTTCATACTTCTGAGTCGGCTTAATTTAATTAATGGCAAATTTTTAATCATCTATCTTTTATCATTTCGGATATGAATCATAAACAAGAACCAAGAAATTTGAGTCAAAAAAAATAAATAGTAAAATGTTGTTTCTTCTTGTTATTTCATGTAAAAAGATTTTTTTTTGGTATCACTTTATATTTTGATGGTAATACTTACTTTGAAGTTTATCTGTATCATCATGATCATCAACAGGCTCCAATATGGTTGTTATAGGGTTTGTGTCAAGTTTTCCTTTTCTGTCCAGCGTAGTTTGCTGCCTTAGACGGCTCTTACAACAAACACGGGATGAATAGGGGTGGTGACACTCCAGATTCTTAATCCGTCAAGAACAATGCAGAGTGATAGTTAAAAAAGCCTTTACTCATGAAACTATTTTAGCAAATAATTCACATCATCATCATCACATCATCAGTCTTTAATAGTTCACTGCTGGACATAGGCCTCTCATTAGAAAGGAGGTTTTGGCCCACTGTACCACGCTGGCCAGACAGGTTGGTATAGGGTTTGTTGCAAGTTTTCCTTCTCTTTGCAGTGCTGTGGTCTTGCGTATTTTGCTCCCTTAGTCGGTTCTTACGACACCCACGGAATAATTAGGGGTGGGGACATACCGCATTCTTAGTCAACATGGAAACGATTACTTCAACTAAACAATACCACCAAGTTTCTATACTTTTTGTTATACTTCCTATCAGTTACATATACATACTTCCATACTTATCATCATCATCATCAGCCTTTAATAGTCCACTGCTGGACATAGGCCTCCCCTTAGAAAGGAGGTTTTGGCCTACTATACCACGCTGGCCAGACGGGTTGGTATAGGGTTTGTTTCAAGTTTTCCTTCTCTCTGCAGTGTTGTTGTCCTGCGTAGTTTTCTCCCTTAGTCGCCTCTTACGACACCCACGGGATGAATAGGGGTGGTGACACTCTGTATTCTTAATCCGTCACCACACGGACATACTTATATAAATGTGAAAAAGACAGATTCTCTTCAACATGTGATACAGTGGAGATTGGCTAAATACGTAAAAATAACTTACACGTGCACAATTTTTTTATCGTGAAATTGTGATAAGAAGAAAAAACTAATATTATGTCTGATATTAAGTCCTGACTGCACGTGATGTCCTCTGTAATAAGATCAATCATAAATCAAAACCCGTGAAACAGGTCTTAAATGGCCTTCCAAAAGACTTGAAAAAAGTTGAGTCCGAATTTTATAACCAGTTGTAATTTTAATTAAAAATCAGGGCCTCTAAGTTTTTAATTTTGGACTTTAATGCTTTGAGGCTAGGAAAAAATTGAGTTTTTTTGTTTTTAGAATCGAGTTTGATAACCTTGAATTTATTTTACTAGGGGGACCCTCTGTCTGGCAGAATCTTTATGCTCCGAAATTCATTTCGCAAAACACACTTGGCAGAATCTTCTTTAAACGAATATTTTCAAGGGATAAAAATTATTTACTATAATTTTATTATTGTTTGGCCGAATGTTTATATGTTGGAGTTTACAATGGCATACAAGATAGCATAGGTAATTTTATTATTGTCAGAGTTTAAATTCCGTGTGATTTCGCTTATCTAGAGCGACGATTATTTGGTACAATTTCAATTTCATTTGGATTTCAATTGCAATAATTATTAATGTTATTAAATTAAATAATTTTATATGACATATTAAGCTTAAGCATCTTTCTTGACTCAATTATGTGCATGTAGTAATCAATTAGTGTGTGTTGTATTCCGCTGTTTATCTGCTGAGAAATTAATTTAAGTTATACAACACACAACATTAAAACAGTTTATCAACCTTTAATAAACAAGCAACTTTTAATTTTATTCAAAACAGTTTCTTAAACTCAAATAAACAATAGCCTTTTGTAATATTTAAAAAAAAAAGTTGAGAGACTGTTGTCGGACTTTTAGGGCTCCAACCACACAGATGATCGTATGACAAACGAGACAGACTGCTTAACCGCACATGGGATGCTCTCCCATGTGCGGAGAGTTCCTAATGTGTTAAGAAATGGTCACCCATCCATAGGCTGTCCAGGCTGGGATTGTTTAACTTTGCAATGTGTTAACCTACTCTGTTACCACTTAAATACGCCTTCCCCCTATATAAACAATCGACTAAAGATTTTCATTTTTTTTGTTTCAGAAAATTGAAGGATGGTTGTGGGCACCCTTCAGCATGTACCCAGTAAGGGGCGAATATCTATAATGAAGATTCAAAATTTTACAGTCCAAAAACGTCGTAAGTAAATATCTCTGCTTCATCTTTATTTTAACCTTATCGACGTATGAGTCAGGACGAATAAATCAACGTATAATAAATCAAATAATTACTTTAATTTTTTAAATACGGATTAAAAATAGAATTTCTATTTTTGAAAAGACAACTCCCAAATTAGGAATATATCCTGTGTCGCGTTGGACTTTACAAAGATACATGAAACGGACACAAAGTACACCCAGACTCAGAACAACAATTTGTGGATCACACAAAGTGTCGTCCCATGTGGGGATCGGACCCACAACACTCAGTGTCTGCAGTCATACATTTCTGCACATTTGGGTCTTTCGTAATTTGCAATTTCGTAAATCACATTAAAGCCTGTTACACAAGACGAAGATACTATAATTTTGTCATCTTAATGTACAAAATCTTTATATATTATCTCCTTATTCTTTTCTCCAGTATTCGAAGCATTAAGAAATTTAATTTTTATTTTGCCTTAAAATAGCTTTTGTTTACGGCTTCGCTCGGAGGGTTATTTCTTATTTCTTACTTTGAAAATGACGCACTTCTGAATAACTTTTCATGTCATATTTTATCCTCTTAGGGGTGAGATTTCCGTAAATCCATTTTTAGTTCGTGCTTGCGACATAAAAAGCATCAGTTGTTAAAATTTTATGTTTCTGGAAAGAAAAAAACAACTTTAATCAAGTTGTGCTTCCTTCTTTAAAGTTAATTATTTTAAAAAAGATTTTCAAATGCCATCTCATTTTAAAACTGTATGCTTTGCAATTAAACAAAATGTTAATGTGTGCAAAGAAAAAAACAAACATGTGGGATGACCTTTTTTTGATGTGGAAACCCAAACACACGCGGTGTTTCTTCAAATGAATTGTAATTAACTACAAATCTTTTATAGACATCTAATTCACTAATAGTCTAATATAAAGATTAAGATATAAAACATACATATTTTATTTATTTTATGTCCAGGATAGTAATTTATCAAAAGAATTAAAATGTCATTAAAACTATTTTTAATTACTATATTTGCATATCATAATGAAGACATAAAAACATACAATTATACACATCGTTCAAAAACTATGGAAGAAAAACCTAACGCGTATTATAAATGACTGTTACTAGCTGAGCCGAGCAAACTCATCTGCGAATATTGCCCCCGTTTTTGCAACATTTTTCACCAATCCTCTTCTTTCTCGTCTCCTTGTTATGGTGGTGATTATGTGATGTTATATAGCACATAGCCTTCCTCGGTAAATGGGGTATCTAACACTTTTATAATTTTTCAATACAAACAAGTAGTTCCTGAAATTATAACAAATAAACTCTTTAGCTTCAGATATTTGTATAGATAGGTAAAGACGAAACACCTTTTAATCAATTTCAAAAAGAGATGAATCATTACACGAGCACCATCTTTTTTTTTAATTATAATACTCAAACTCAAAAATTAACTAAAAATATTTTGTAGACATCTAATTTACGAGTGTATGTTTTCTCCCTTAGTCGCCTCTTACGACACCCACGGGATGAACAGGGGTGATGACATTCCGTATTCTTAATCCGTCAGTAGTTCATTAAAATATCATTGAAATTATTTTTTTATAATTATCATGTTTGATCATCATAATAAAGACATAAAACATATATATGTAATTACACACTGTTCGGTAACTTATGTGTCAGAGATAAAAACAAAACAGGTTTACTTATTAGTATAATATATAGTATAACACCTTTTAACCAACTTAAAAAGAAAATAGGAGTTCAATCATTCTGTTTTTAATTGAAATAAACCTACTCAACTTTTAATCAAAATTATAAAAAAAACTTAAAATTAAAAAAATCATCCGTGTGGTGTAGGATTAAGAATACAGAGTGTCACCACCCCTATTCATCTCGTGGGTGTCGTAAGAGCCGACTAAGGGAATAAACTAAACAGGACAACAGCACTGCAAAGAGAAGGAAAACTTGAAACAAACCTTGAACCAACCCATCTGGCCAACGTAGCATAGTAGGCCAAAACCTTCTTCAAAACAGCGTGTTATAGTAGGCCAAAACCTAAACCCTTTCTAAGGAGAGGCCTATGTCCAATAGTGAACTATTAAAGGCTGTTGATGTCATTGAAAGATTTGGTTACCATTTTAATATTCTTATGTTCTTTTTTGAGAATAAATTCTTTTATCCTAAAATAAAGGGATGACGAAATCAGCTTATTACAAATTTATCACGATTCAAACTTTGCCCATTGCACGAAAACTAGTAATTTTAAATATATTTGTCTTGTTTTAGATTCTGTGATTAAGCTGGCTTATGGAGTACTCCTGCTGGTAATAGCAACAGTGATAGCAGCCATCAACCCCATAGAAATCATAACAAACTATGTAAGTTTTTTAGAATTTTTTAAATTAGATAATAGCTGCATGGCGGATGTGCGGCACCCTAATTCTCTTTATTTATATTACTCCTCACATCAGCGACTATGCACTGATGAGAGTACCATGGAAATTAGTCCATCTATTATGAGGTTTAGGACGAATTAAAAGACAAACATTTAAAAAATAGTTTTTGATAGTAAAGGTGAGTTTATTTTGTCATTAGAAATATACACTTTAATTTATTCTTAGCTTCCAGAAAACAAATATTTACGGCATCGTTTAAAGTTCACAAGTCCATGTTTGAGTAGGTATACAAAAAGATACCTTATTCCACCAATTTTGAGTTCCAATTACTTGTGAGCCAGTATAAAGGTAGGCTCACACTATGAGCAGTAATTGCACACCTTTACCGAGCACAATAATGTTCCTCAATGTCATGTAACGAATGATTTTTTAAGTTAACTTTATTTTATTTTATTCCGATAAGTCTGCAACGAGTTAAAACTTGTTTATAAAGCTCATAGGGTAAATTCACACTGAAGTGACAGCGGTCGGTGACGTATCGGCTTGTAATATCAGTTTCAGATTTATCTACATCGTTTAAAAGTCGGAGATGAGTGTCCGTCAAAGTGATACTATGCACTATCGCATTGAAAATAAACTTAAAATCGTTTGAAAATAAATTGCAATTGCACTTCTGACCGCTGCCACTTCATTGTAAATTGTAACATAGTGTGCGCATACCCTAACACAGAATTGGGATCTGATTTTATGACAAGTATGATGCAATGAAATTTCTACTCTAATGCAGGGAGTTTAAGAATAGTAATTATCTAATTACACTCACAGCACAAGTTTCTAAGACAACACGATCAAAAGACACAGAAATCAATCTTAATTTTTACCAATTTAAACACTTCGTATGTTAATCAGAACTTTTAAGATCCTTCCCATTGACCTAGAATCATGAAATTTAACATGAAACAAGGTCTCACATCGTAATTAAAGGAAAAAACCGAAAGTTGTTCCTTTGTTATGTGACACAAAAATATTTTTGCAATATCATATTGGATTTGGCACTACAAAGTTTATTTTTTGCAAAGTAAACTGTCAATAATCTTTATGCTTCAAATCCCGTCATGAATGAACTACGAGTATTTAAATACAAATTTGTTCGCCTTCCAAACCCTCAGCGCGTGAGTTACACTTGGCCTTGTCCATTTTTTACTATTTAACACACCCACGGCCTATAATAGTCCATTGCTGGACATAGGCCTCTCCTTAGACAGAAGGTTTTGGCCTTTTTTCTTTTTACGTGTGGAAACCCCCTCGGGCCGTCACCCCACCGGGATTTACGGCGGGGTGGTGTGTCGGAATCGGACCGACTAAAACCACACGGTGTGCCACACGTAATAGGAACTGCTGTTATTAAGACATCCGGACCCCTCCTAGCGCCTGCCCGCAACCTTTGGGTATAATCTCTATTTAGGAGACGTCCGGCACACGCGGACGTCGCCTCCTCGCCCCTGGCCGTTATGACGGGCGGAGGGGAAAACCCGTCTCGTCCACCCGCGGCCACATTCAGGGCGACATGAGGCGCTGGTAAACGCGCCTCCGCCGCCCGGTTCGTCGGCGGCGAATTGGGTCCGAGTGGAGATTATCCTCCCGGGCCCTCTCCGTCGCTTCCTTCCGCGAGATAATGTCTTCGCAGAAGGATGCGACCGCGGTAAAACAACTATCACTACCGGCCATGGAGCGCATGACGGCCGGTAGTGAGAGATCTCTCCCGATGACTGCAGTGAGGACCCGACGCTGCGACGCCCAAGCCTGGCAAATTGCCAGCGTGTGCTACCACGCTGGCCAGACGGGTTGGTGTAGGATTCCCCGGTCTCGACCCCGTCAGGCTCCGCGTTCTCAAACGCGGAGTCGTACAGGAACGTACGGGTTGACGGCGACGCCGTAGCGGAGGAGGAGATCGCGGATCTCCTGCTCAAGGTTCGGGAGCCGGTGGGGGGAAATGCCCCCCAGGCTCCCGTGTCCGTGCAGGAGAGGGCGAAAGCGGCGGTGGCCGTCATTCACAAGGTGGCCACCAAGTCTGTGAACCTTAAGGGCTCGTTTGTGAGGGCCCTTAAGGACTCCTCCTCCGCTTTGTCGGAGGTCGTGGAGGGCCTAGCGGGCGACGTCTCTCGCCTGCAGGTGGCCAACGAGAGGCTGACGGAGCGGGTGAACGAGCTGAGCGCTCAGTTCGCCCGCTTCCAGGCGAACCTCCCCGAGCGGGAAGCCCCGTCCGCGTCCCAGCCTGCCCCTACCACCAACTCAGGGGCATTTGACTCCCAACTGCGTGAAATCCTCATCGCAGTTGGGAATATGCTGGACGGACGCCTGGCGGGGCTGGAGGCGAGACTGCCCCCTGCGCCGGTTGTGCGCCCCCCGCTCGGGTCGGCACAGCGGCCTAAGGCCGCCGCTCCGACCGCGCTCCCCGTAGTGGGAGGCCGCGTCTCCTACGCGGCGGCGGCGTCTGCCCCGACTCCATCGGCTCCCCAAAAGCCGAGGAGGGGGGCCAAGGCACCGGCCCAGGCGCCGGCCAAGGCACCGTCCCAGGCGCCGGCCAAGGCGCAGGCCAAAGTGCCGGCCAAGACGGGGCCTAAAACGGCGCCGAGGAGCGGAGTGGCATGCCCTCCGCTCCCCACTCCGACACCCCTGCCGGGCCCCTCCGCACCTGCCCCCTCCAACGAGGGCTGGCAGGAGGCGAGGGGCTCCAAGAAGTCCCGAAGGCGGGCCAGAAGGGCTGCCCAAAAAGCAGCCCAAGCCCAGCCTTCGCCACCGGTGGCAACGGCCTCTGCAAAGAGGCCGCGGAAGCTGCAGCCGCCCAAAACCGCGGCTGTAGTTGTGACCGTGTCCCCGGAGGCGGCTGACGGCGGGCTGTCCTACGCGGCCGTTTTTAAAAAGGCCCGGAACAGCCTCGCCAACGACTTTGGGACGGTGGGGGTCAAAATGCGCCTCGCCCAAACGGGAGCTCGAGTTCTCGAGTTCCCAGGGGCTGAAGGCGCCAAGACGGCGGACACTTTCGCTGAGAGGCCGCGGGGTTTATTCGCGACCACAGATGGTGTCAAGATCGCCAGGCCTACCAAGTGCGCGGAGCTGCGCATCTCGGGCCTGGACGACTCTGTGACGGCCGAAGATGTCCGCGCTGTAATCCGGGAGAAGACGGGGTGCAGCGCGGACAACGTCAGGGTTGGCACCATCCGCCCCGGTCCAGGGGGGCTTGGCGCCGTGTGGGTCAGCTGTCCCGTAGCGTCGGCCAAAGTATTGGCTGACGCCGGCAGGCTGCTCATCAGTTTCGTGAGCGCTAGGATCACAGTCCTGGCGGCGAGACCGATGAGGTGTTACAAATGCCTAGCATCGGGGCACACGCGCGTCAAGTGCCAAAGCTGCTTCGACTGCAGCGGACTATGTTTCCGCTGTGGTCGACCGGGGCATGTGGCGGTGGAATGCTCTGCGGCTCCTCACTGCCCGGTGTGTGCGGCGGGTAACAAGCCCGCCAATCACCAGAATGGAAGGGGGGCTGCAAGCCTCCCCGCAACTCTCAGCAAGCATCGGGGGCTAGCCAGTCGACCCAGGCTGCCTCCGATGTAGTTCGTGCGTCGACGTCGTCGCCCATGGAGGAGGCTGTAGAGACGATCCAGTAATGGATCGGGTCTCCAGCCTCCTGGTCCAGACGAACCTGAACCACTGTGCCGCGGCGCAGGATCTCTTCCTGCAAACCATGGCACAGTGGTCGATAGGTGTTGCCGTAGTCGCGGAGCCCTATTCTGTCCCTCCCCGTCCAAACTGGATGGGTGACCGGGACGGCTCCGTGGCAGTCGTCGGTTCCACGACGGCTCATTCCCCGCCCTTGTCGCTAAGAGACAAGGGCACTGGATATGTTGCCGTCGAGTGGGGGGGGATCACCATATATGGTGTTTATTTCTCCCCCAACCGGAGTTTGAACGACTTCGAGGTTTTCCTAACCAGCTTGGAGACCTCGATACGGCGACTAGCGTCTGGGCACGTCCTTGTGCTGGGGGACTTCAACGCAAAGTCCATTGCGTGGGGTTCCCCCAGGACGGACGGACGTAGAGGAGTGGGCGGCCTCGGTGGGCCTCTGTCTTCTCAACAGAGGCTCCACCAACACGTGCGTGCGACAGCAGGGGGGGTCGATAGTGGACCTCTCGTTCGCTACCCCTGCCCTCGCCGCACGAGTAAGGAACTGGCGTGTCCTGGAAGAGGTTGAGACGCTCTCGGATCACCTGTATATCCGATTTGAGCTCTCCCGGACCCAGGACTCCAGTAGGGGTCACGTGGCGCGGCGTTTATCCCGCTTTCCACGGTGGGCTGTTGCCAGACTGAACCGGGACCTACTAGAGGAGGCAGCCATAATACACTCGTGGCTGTCTCCACAGGCTCCGACCGAGGAGGTTGAGGTGGGGGCTGGTCGCTTTCGCGATGCGATTACGCATATCTGCGATGCGGCCATGCCCCGCATTCGAGGTCGTCGGCTTCCAAGGAAGGAGGTCTACTGGTGGTCCCAGGAGCTGGCGGACCCCCGTGCGGCCTGTACACGTGCCCGGAGGTCCTACACACGCAGTCGGCGGCGTCACCGTGGAGACGGTGAGGAGGACCGGCTTCATGAGGAGTACCGACGGGCTCGGAAAACTCTGAAGCTGGCCATTAGCCGCGCCAAAGAGGAAAAAAGACAGGAGATGCTGGAGGGTCTTAATCGTGACCCCTGGGGTCGCCCTTACCGCGCGGTGCGACAAAAGCTCCGCGCGTCGGGCCCCCCCCTTACGGAGACTCTCCAGCCCAGCTTCCTGCGAGAAGTGGTTGAGGGCCTTTTCCCACAACGAGCGGAACACACTCCCCCGTCGATGGCCTCCCTGGCCGGAGACGACGGGGAGCACGGGGAGGACAATGTTCCGCCCGTCCGGGATTCGGAGGTAGGGGCGGCTGTTCTACGGATCCGTTCC